TCTCAACCGCACTTGGCAGTTGTCAAGCGTCGAGAGATCATTCCCTCAAGGCGTGTGTCAGCCGACACTTGAGTGTTGAATGCGACCCTCCGGATTAACGAGGACAACATGAATATGGGTACTATATAGTACGCCACCATTGCAACCGCTTGTGTATGCTTGCATTGCGAATCGATATGAGTTAGCCCTGCGTCCACGCGGTTTTATACTAAGTCTCGCACGCGTCGCCTATCCGATTTCCGCATCGGAAAGTTATGGGATGGCTACTAAGGGACTAGGAGTGTTGCCGCGTTGTTTGTTCTCTGTCGTTTTGTATATGTATGTGTATGTGTGTGTGTTTTTATTTTTATGTTCTTTAGAGTGGTGTGCGCGTGGCGCGTGGGTTGCGTCCAAGTCGACCAGCGACGAGTCACGCTTGGGACCTCATCCCCCTAAGATGCCGATTCGAGTCCGGGTTCGATAGAGGAGTAATACCGCGCGTACCCCGTATGCTACAACGAACGAGAAACAACCTCGACAAGTCCAACTCTACGATTGCAGCTGATTAGCTTTCGTACTGTGGACTGGTAACTCGGCGGGGATAACCCAACCGAAGGGAAGTGACAACTCCCGTAAGGTGGAGGTAAGTCGTGCCTCGCGTAGACCCTATCCCGTCGTAGGGGTTCGCGAGAGGTATGGCTGGCGCACTTGACCGGAGCGACTTGTGGAAGTTCCATGTATATTCCCGACGAAGGATTGAAACCAACTCCTGCGTGACGCGACCGATGCGCTCGACATCGTCTTGTGCTCAGCTAGTGCAATAACAGCTTGCGGTTTAAGCTGACGAGCCAAGTTTGGTTGTGGCCCCTTTCTAAACCGATGCGCTAAACATTTCCTGCACTAACTGTTGTCGGGCTCCTTGTCCAAGTTTGGTTGTGGCCCCTTTCTTCACGGGGTCATTCTTCTCCCTCAGTATCCTCATCGTCACGGGCTTCAGTCCCGTTTTCATCTTCTTGGTTGACTTGAAAGATCTTTGTGGTCTTCCTCGTGAGGCTCGATGGAGATGCAATGGAGTAACATTAGGACTCGATTGTGATAGCGAGTCTTCTTCCTCCGTTGTGGTAGATAAGCACTTTCGTTTCTCTGTCAGCCGTAAGTCTCTAGTACGTCCACTCATCTCGGTGATATCCTCTTCCGAAATAGGGCTAGAAATTTGTGACGAACGATGATGCTTAGCTCTTCGATTAACCCTCCTATGTCGTCTTCTTTCTCGCTTGTATTCAGGGGAACTCTCCACCCCGATCTCCTCTCTTGCCCCTTCCCATCTTTCTGAGAACTGTATATTGACAATTCTTGCCATTCTTTCATCAGCCTTCATTTGTTCCTGACGCTTCTTCTCTTCCCTCCGGGCTCTTCTTGCCTCCTTTTCTCATCTCTCAATTTCTTGCTTCCGTAAATTTTCCTTCTCCTTTTCTTTCGCCAGTTTTTCTTCTCACTCGACCACCAACAAATTCATCAACTCCTTGACGCTATCATGATCTTCTCGGTTTTCATACTACTCTATCGTACTCAGAGTCCACGGACGGTGAGCATTTCGAAGGTTCCCATCTACGTCGCGCCGGTGATACCGATCTCCCTCGATGATGCTGAATTTCCCCGACCGCAGATGTTTCTTCGACAACTTTCGTTTCGAATTTCTCCTTCCAGTATAGATCGCAGTCCCGTGCATATATAACATACTTGAGAACTTGTTCGAGGTGCATCGTCCCCACCACCGCTTCCTCCTTGTTGGCTAGTGGACGCCATACTTCTTCCACAACACATATTCCACTGTGCTTAGTACGCTTCTTCAACGTGGTCAAGCCAGACCACCATACGAAGTGTCGATCCTCCGCTGGTTACCGGGCGCTTCAACAGAGGTGAGATTCACACATGCAATCCAAAATCGACACAGACGACAATAGTCGACACGGACAATCTGAGATTGAAGTCGTGAATGAAAATGACATAACCTTATGGAAAAGGTAGTACAGACCCAAGAGACCCAATGGTCGGGCTCAAGAATCACTACAATCTTCCCACCTTCACTTCTTCCCGAAACTTTAGCATTATTCCACCAACCATTTTCGGGGCAATCCCCGTCTCTATGCCGAGAAAAGAGGACTAACATGTAGTTATGCCTCTCGTCGTTTGTTCAGGCAGAAGTTGAACCCCTCATAAGTTGAGGTGGCTAAGTAAATTGTGTATGCCGAATGTTTAGGCTGACCAACCTCACCATAAGTTGGTGTGGCCCGGTCATACACCTTATGTCAATCGTTTAGGCGGAGGCTAACCACACCATAAGTTGGTATGGTAAGTTATATGCCTCATATTTATTCGTTGAAAATGGTTGTATTGCAAAAATTGGGCGAACGCATAAGTTGCGGGTTGTTCGGTCATTCGCGTATGTGATTTTGTCTAGGCTGGGCTAGACTGCTCATAAGTTGAGTAGACTGGTTCTAAGCTATATGTCACTCTTTGGGTTGGTTGGGCACATTATAAGTTCGTGTGTTCCATTCATATGCCTTTTGTCATTGTTCAGACAAAGGTTGGTCCCTCATAAGTCGAGGAGGTTCAGTTTCTTTGTGTATGCCCAATGTTTAGGCTGACGAGCCTCACCATAAGTTGGTGCGGCCCGGTCATACGCCTTATGTCGATCGTCTAGGCAGAAACTGGTCACACCATACTTAGTCCTATGTCTTATGTTTATTTGTGCTACCAGACTAGGGCACCATAAGTTGGTGTCACCTAGTCATATAAACTGACAGGTCAGTCACATCCATAAGTTGGATTGGTCGATCCTATGTCTTATGTAAGAAAGGGTAAAAGGGAATAAGAAGAGATTTTGAACGAACTATGTGATATGGGAATGAACCTGAGGGTTGGTGGGAGATGTTGTTGCGCTCGCCTGTGTATGTTCTTAAGGTCTATCTCTGGGTATTTTTTTTGATAACTTAGTTGCTTTAGATGCTCGCTGAGTGCTGGAATTGTAGGTAGGTGAGATGGATGATGGGAGGGAAGTTTGGGATATGATAGGACTGACCTTACTGGAAGTTATGACTAGTGATAGCTCACGATACCCTCTTCAAAGGGGGATCGTGTAAACTATCCCTAGTTCTAATTATCAAGTGAGTGTCAGAAGTTAGTCTCAAGTATAGTTGAACTTTGTCTTTGCATTTTCAACTTTGTATAAATCTTGACAATCTCATTTTCCTATGAGAAGCGTTGCTGAAATTCTTACAAATCTGAAAGAGTTTGTCATTTTTGGACACCTAAAAATTCTGAAAAGACACTTTTCCTATGGGAAGCGCAACCAAAATTTTATAGAATTTGAGGAGTTAGATTATTTTCTGCTAGGTAGAATTTTACCCTGACTAAGGGAGATGCTGCCAAGATTTTCAGCAATGTCTGAAACTCATTGAAAGAAGGTAAGGGAGAAGTTAGTAGAGGAGTTAGATTACGACATGGAGGATGTCCTCCATTTGTCTTAAACATAATATTGGTACTCTTTGGCATAAACTGTGATGCAGGTCTACGAATTCGATTAAAGGCTTGATTCGTTCGGCCTGACCCTACGAAGGATCACGTTTCTGTTATCTTTTGATAACAGGTCGGTTTACGACACAACTTCCCTACTTCTGCATCTTAACCTTAGGCCTTGCCTCTTATTAGTTTTTATGTTTCTTGGGTTTTTCACCCTGATTTATTTTCAAGTGGCCATTTCTAAAGACTTAGTACCTTTATTGGAGGGATGGTGGAAATTGGTTAGGGCTTGTATGCATAAGGCAGGGTGTGACTCGCAGAAAGCAGTAAAGTTGTCTCCCTTAGTGTGTGTGATGTTGTTGTTTGAACTCTGTGTGATTGCAGATATGCTTATAAGTTGTGTATCTTTTGAACGGAGAACGGGTGGAATTCAACGCCCGAACACCCGTTTAACGAGTCCCCAGACCCCCGTTAAATCGCGTTAAACGCAAAAACGGGGTCTTCGCGTCGAATTCCGAAAAACGGAATTCACGCGTTGGGCCTCGGACACGTGTACCTACGTGCCCGAACACTAAAACCGGGAAAAAAAA